CGCATCGTTCATTATAAAGTACCAACTCGTTATGACATTCACAAAAATGAACTTCAAATTGTTCTGCAGTTGTTGAGGGACGAGTTGACAGCCTTGCAGATCGCCTACTCCTCTCTGGAGTCCACCTACAACAAGGTCAACAAGGAGAACACGCAACTGATCAATGAACTCGTTGAGAGGAAGAAGGAGATTGCCGAATTCCTCGATCGGGAGATGGAGAACGATCGGAAGTTGAGGTCGAAGAAGATGAAGGAACAGCTGGAGAAGGCAACCAAGGTCAACATTGAAGGGTTGGTTGATTGACTGACTGATTGGTTGGCTGGTTGATTGATTGGTTGGCTGGTTGGTTGATTTTTGATTGATGAGTCACTTTACAGGTTACTGCTGGTTTGTTAGCTGGTTGTTAGGGATTACATTATAAATTACGACATGATGACATGACGACCTGGTGAACTTGAATTTCTTGATGCTCACTGAAGAAGCACTAATTTATGAATTTGACTAAAGGCCGAATAGTTGATCCATCATTCGCCCGAAAATTGAAAACCCACAACTTTGAAAAAATTATTTTTTAGAATGAAAAACAACAACGCATAAACTGCAACACACACAAACAACACACAGCCCTCTTCTGTCCCCTCACGAGAAGGTGTGTCTATCCAGTATGATTCCTAAGAATCCTCTGCATGCTCAGGTTGGTTGGTTGATTGATTGTTTGGTTGGTTGGTTGGTTAGTTAGTTGATTGGTTAGTTGGTTGGTAGGTTGGTTGGTTAGTTGATTGATTGAATGATGGTTGCATAATTGGTATTGATGTCTGCATGAGTTGTACAAATATTTACACAAATGACGCCACGTTAGGAAGTTCACGACAACGAGGTGATGTGTGTGGCCTGGAATGCAAACTGCAAGATGTTTGCCACTGGAGGTGTCGACAGGAAGGTGAAGCTGTGGGAGATTTCTGGCGGTTGGTCTCGTGTCTCGAAGTTTCCAATGTTATCATTTTGTTTTGTTATCAAACTCAACAAACACTCCCATTAACTGTCCGATCCGTCAATTAATTAATTAAATCGTCATTATATTGATCATTTAAGGAGGAAAATATGAAGCCAGGGGAACGTTGATGGGATGCAATGCTGGAGTCACCAGCGTGATCTTTGAACCTGAGGTTGGCCATGTTGTTGTAGCGTGATGTTTTCATTGCCACACATCCTTCTCGCTTGTTTTGCCGTGAGGTTGTTTTATGTGGTGCTATTGTGACATGCTGTTTCGTGCTGTCGTAAGATGTTCCATTGATGTGTTGTTTTTTATTGTTGAAATGTGGTGGTACTGATGTGCTGCAGTCGTGTGACGTTGTGGGGATGTTCTGCTACTGAGCTGTGATCACTGATATTACAGCAGGTGATGTGTTACTTTGTGATGTGATGTAATGTGATGTGATGTTACGTGATGACGTAATGTTCTGATGGTATGGATGCATTATTGAGGGTAATATGCATTTATGCATTATTGAGGGTAATATGCATTTATGCATTATTGAGGGTAATATGCATTTATGCATTATTGAGGGTAATAACAATTGTCGGGAAACTTTCAAAGTCGGATTATTTGTG